GAGGGCTGCGGAGGATACTATCGGGCCAGCAGCTCAGTCACCTCTTCCTTGGTCATGACCACATGCTCCGGGACCAGCTGCCAAGAGGAGAACGCTGTGCCAGGCCGGTTCAGCCCACAGGGAGAAGGGTTTTCAGCCTGGCCTCTTGCTGGCTCGGGTGGGGGGCAAGGGCCTCACACGCCTCCCCCCCGCCCCGGCCTCACCCCCACTCCCACCTCGTGCTCTGTGATGTTGATGAGCAGCTCCTGCTGCAGAAACTGCTCCAGGATGTACTTGGGGGCCATGTCGACCAGGGACTGCAAGAGAGGACAGCACACACACACACACGGCTGTGATGGGGATGTGCACCCCAAAGCAGCCTCCACCCACTTCTGACCCAGGCATGAGGCCGGGTAGGCTTTACCCCACGCCTACCAAGAGGCGAGCGCCCAGCCCACCTGCCCTCCTGTCAGGGGAGGTCCTCAAGCTCGCGTGGTGGGGTCCCTCCAATAAAGGGCGCCCTTCCCAGGCAGAACAGTCACGGGGGCCTGGTGGGCTGCACAGTGAGGTGCCGGCCGGCAGACACGGGCAGTCCGCGGCGCACCCGCAGGCACGGCCAGGGCGGCCCAGAGGCGTACCTGCTTGGCAGACGGGGTCATGCCCTGCTGCACCACGATGAGGGCGCGCGTGATGTTCTCCTCCTGCATGCGCTGGCAGTACACCTTGATGGTCTTGATCCCCACTTTGGGCTCCTCTGGGGACAGCACACAGGCTGCTGACACCGCCGGGGCCTGCGCCTGCCCACCCCACCCAGACGCCTGATCAGGCGGTGTTGCACCCCCATCTGGGGCCTCAGTTTCCCACGCACAAAACAACCCGAGACGCTGGTGTCCAGCGGAAGGGGCTGCCGCCGCCACATCCGCATCTCAAGGGGGCTGAAAGCAGCCCTGCATCCCCTGTGGACCCCACTTTCCAGAAGTGGGGTCTAAGAGGCTAGGTTTGCTCCTATGCCGCAAGCGATCCTGAGGTTTAGGAAGTCGGGGATCTAACAATCTGTTCACTCGGGGAGCCCACGAGACGAGCACCACCGGGTGGTGAGAGGGGCCAGCCGGCCTCCAAGCCGCCGGGAGTAGGCTCCTCAGGCCCAGGCAGCACCCAGGGCCCTGTCACTGGAGAACTGACGGAACCTGCAACTTAGTAGGCTGGAAACTGGGTGCTGAACTTCCCGTGGGCCATACAGTGTGCAATGTTGGGGCTCCAGACCCATCAAAAGGATGTGCTCTGGGCTGAGCTGGGTGCCTCAAAAATTCAAATACTGAAAACCGGCCTCAGGATTTGACTGCCAGCTCGGGTCTGTAAGGAGAGCAAGTTAAGGTGAAACCACTGGGTGGCGCAGGGTAAAGCTGCTGCACCAAGCAGCTGCCACAGCCCCTGCAGCACAGGTTCGATCCCCGGCCAGGGAGCGACCCCCAGGGCGCGGCAGACCTCTCCTGTCTCCCCACTGCGCCCCTCAGCAGTGGGTTTCAGTGGATCTGCCTATTCTGCTCCCTGCTCTGTCTCTGGTGAAGCCTCCTACCCCTCACACCTCTGGCCAACACCCCAATTCTTGAGTGCCTGAATAAAAAATAAACAACGAAATCACGGCCCTAATAGTTTCTGACGCTCTTGGAGAACAGGTCACTGGAGCAGACACACGGCAAGGCGCCGCCTGGGCGGAGGGAGAGCCGCGGGGCGGCCAGCCTGCCCGGCCTCAAGCCTCCGGGACACAACTGGGGTCAGGCTCCAGCTGTGGTGAGAGGCCACACCCTTCTGTCACGTGACTAGAACCAAGGGCGACCTCCTACTCCAGGGAGACAATTACAAAGCGCCTCCCGCGTCTGGTCAGCCAAAGTTTCTGTGCACCTCAGAGCCCAGGGTGGGGCTGGGTCCCCACAGTGCTTGAAACAAGGCCTCCCCACCCCGCCCCTGCATGGGGTGTGACAAGGCTTTGGCGCACGGGTACTGAGACGGAGGACGCGGAGGTCCTGGAACACCCCGGGCTTCTGTGCCCAGCATGGGGGTCACAGGGATCCCCGAACACATGGCCCCTGAGCGCAGCCTCCAGGGACAATGGGCTCTTCCTGGGAGGGGCGGGGGCGCAGGACAGGCAGTGCAGAGACAGGGGTGGGGGGGACGCCCCAGGGAGAAGACCTGAGGTCTGGGCTGGGAGGCGGAGGGGCGACGGGCTTGGGCCACACGCCGGCACTCACCAGGGAAGAAGACAAACATCTGGTCAGTGGGGTCATCATTGTGGGCCACCAGGACTGTGAGGTCCGTGCGCCGCGGCCGCCCTTCACTGGGCTTGTCCCCAAACTGGGCCTTGAACTCCTCCAGTGTCTGATCCAGCTCGTCCTGGGTCACCAGGTAGCCACGGTCGTGGCACAACTGCTCATAGGACAAACGACCCCCCATGAAGAGGCAGCCGCACGGGACGACGGGAGGTGGGGGTCTGGCGGGGCACGTTTGCGGGCAGCCGGGGCCCCAGAGCCAAGCAGAAAGGACGACTGAGGCTCGTGGACGCAGAGCCCAGCGTCCCAGGGGTCCCCAGGAAAAGGAGAAGTTCCAGTTTCCCTGCCCCGCCCTGAGCAGAGGAGTCTGAAGACTAGTGGGGGCCGGAAAGCCAGAGGAGCCCTGGGGAGTCACAAGGAGCAGAGTCGCGTGAAGAAACCGTGCTTGTTTCTGGCCCTGGACTGGGGGACACAGACGTGGGGGAGACCAGACGTGGGGGAGATGGGGGGGGGTGTGACGGTGGCAGCGCTTATCTTGGTTTTGATGCTGCTCTTCCGCCCAGACTCGTCTGCCCGTCTGCCCCTTTCCCATGGGCCCCGCCACAAGGCGCTTTAGACTGTGTCGGGCTTTCAGGCCTGCTTTGGGCCATCCCTTTTGGGGGGACCTTTACCCACGAGGGGACAGGTAACTTCGGGGGTTTGATTTAGAAATTATGTTCTTTATCATCCGTATTGTACACTCATTGTATTGAAGTTCTTTTCCATGAAAGCTCTTACGTCTTGCCTTGATGTGGCGGTCGGCAGGCCCTATTTAGAGCAGGCAGGTTTGGGGGTTCAGCGGTCCTGTAACAGGACCACGGGCAGGCGATGGGGCAGCCTGTTGGGAGGGGCCGCACTAGGGCCGAGGCTGAGACTTAGAATCGGGGTGACGAATGTCCTCGGGGGGCTACAGAAAAAGGACCCGGAGGGCGAAGGGAGGGTCGGAGCCAACACCGCCGGTCCCACCCCCGCCCGGCCTGGCTCCTCCCCAAGGTCCCGCCAGGCGCCGGCCACACCCAGCTTGAGGTCGCGGCCCTGGGCTCGACCTCTGCAGGGTGGCAAGC